CAGGAGGAGGAGGAGGAAGAGGAAGAGGAGGAGGAGAAGGGAAGCAGGGAGCAGAGGGGCCTCCTCTGGACACGGGGCGAGAGCAACTTTTTGGGTCGGGCTCCTGAGCAGGAGAACTGAGCTAAATCCGTCTGTTTAAAATTAATTCTTTCTCTTAAACGTTTACTTAATTTCCTAGCGTGGCCTCAGACATACCCCAATACTGTTGCAGTGAAGAACAATGCTGTTACAGCAGCTCTGGCACGGTAAGGACAAGTAAAATGCAAGGAATGAGGTACACCCGTATGCATATAGACGGGTACCGCGTACGCACACTCATACTGCTACCATTCAGTCAGTACACTATCACATTTGATTTTTTTAAAGTGCTATCAGCAGTTAAACATTCTGTGTTCTGCGTTTCTAACAGCTGCTAAGGCTCCAGCTCAGATGACACAAATGATGGAGATTTTTCACGGCAGTCGCTCTCATCTCAGGATGTGGTCTGCCCCTCTGCAGGCCAAGCCTTCATCACAAAGACTCTAGCTGCTTACACAGATGTGTATGACTCATCATAAGAGGGCAGAACATCTGTATGGGCGTAAGCGTCTGCTAACCTAATGGGCATCAGTTTGCATTTCCTGCAGCTCGGCAGCACCTGAAGTCTGATTTGACAGAAAAAGTGAAATAAATACTGAGGAAGTTTGGTCTAAGACACACAAAAGCAGCTAATAGAGTCCTAATCTTCCCCGTGCCTCCCCCTGCCCTCTTTGCCTTGGCACATAACTCATCCCTGCCAGTAACAAACTTTCATTTCCACTCTGAGATTTTCTCCCCTCTGTTAGAGAAGGGGAAGATATTACATTACAGAGGCAACTCATGGAGTGACATTTTGTCAAGGTGTTTTGAAAAGTACTGCTTAAATGCTCTGGATATTTCAGTGAGACTAGGTAATTCAGCTAAAGTTACTACTGATCATAGAATTGTTATAGTTGGAAGAGACTTTTAAGATCACCAAGTCCAACCATTAACCCAGCACTGCCAAACCCACCACTAACCCATGTCCCTCAGCACCACATCTGCACGTCTTGTAAATACCTCCAGGGATGATGACTCAACCACTTCCCTGGGCAGCCCGTTCCAGTGCTTGATAACCCTTCTGTGAACAAATTTTTCCTAATGTCCATCCTAAACCTCCCCTGATGCAACTTGCGGCCATTTCCTCCTGTCCTGTCGCCTGTTACTTGGGAGAAGAGACCAACCCCCCCTCGCTACACCCTCCTTTCAGGTAGTTTTAGAGAGTGAGAAGGTCCCCCCTCGGCCTCCTTTTCTCCAGGCTAAACAAACCCTCAGCTGCTCCTCAGACTTGTTCTGCAGACCCCTCACCAGCTCCGGTGCCCTTCTCTGGACTCGCTCAGTACTCAAGGTGGGGCCTCACCAGTGCAGAGTACAGGGGGACGATCCCTGCCCTAGTCCAGCTGGCCACACTAGTCCTGATACAGGCCAGGATGCCATTGGCCTTCTTGGCCACACTGCCCGCTCATATTCAGCCAGCTATACTAAGTAGGAACAGGAAATTTGTCTCCAAGGAAGGTTCTCTAGAAGCCAAATGAGGTTTCTCCTCACCTCACATACAAAAAGTAGTCCTAAGCGTTATCTACCTCTGTGCTACAGTTGCAGGGGAACGTCCACTAACAGCGCTGAATTCAATAAAGAAGGAAACAAATTACCTGAAAGGAATTCTGCATTGCTGGGAAGATGAAGGTCAAGAAGCATTTAGTGATTATTTATATGCAAAAAGGGCACTCCCCTAATTGCTAGTGCTATTTATCTTTACGACTTCGACATGGTGTAAAAACTTACAGGTATTTAACGCTGAGGTAACAGTACATTTCTTAGACAGTACCTAACAAAAAGGTCGCAGTTGGGTTTTTGCCTCACAGCATTTGTTACCCCACAAGTTGCAGCCACACATCTCCAGACCAAAGTAGTGCATAGTATTTTCTCGAAAGAGAAATGTTTTTAAGAAACAGAAGAACATAATGGTTTTTAAACAGGGGGACTAGAGGTTTTATGTAGCAGATCATGTTGTGCATACTCAAAGATATTCTATACCAGTGCTGCAGATTAAACCAGCCACTTAATGAAGGCACCAAGAAAAGTCTTAATCCTTTAAGATGTAAACTGCGGTAAAAATCCATACCTACAAAACAAACAGAAGAGAGGCACATTTCTTCAGCATGAAATGCAAGTTTCTCATGTAAGCATGCCAAAGCTTTTGGGAAAAACATTTCTGATATGTACAGTTTTTAATATAGAGAGTGTCCCTCTATAGAGAATCTACATGAATACAACATATTTTATGGATGCTTGGGAAGGATAAGAAGAGAGAAGTATTTCATTTTTCCAATTTAAAATACTTAAATTTTTGCGGGAAGTGCAGGTGATGAGGAAGAAAAGAAAGCAAAGTTCTAAACTTCTTTAGCGCAGTGCTCTACAAGACAGGGTCTGCAGGTAACGCAGCGTTAGCTACACAAGGGCTTGGAGTTCAAAGTCCAATATAAATTCCCCTCTATATTCAAAGAGTTTCTTCAAGTTATTTGGAAAAGCAAGGTTGAGTATTGTCTGCCAATCACTGACTGCTCAGTATTGCTGTCTAGACACTAATAAAGTAGTTAAGTTTTCTTTATTAGACCAGTAGTCACTGGTCTACAGGTTTTTAGACAGTAACGATCTCTCTATTATTGTGAATGGTTTTCAGCAGTACAGAATACGCTATGATTAACACTTGTGAAATGTTGCATAATGAACAACTTAGATGCTTCACATTAAATAATACTAAACTGGTACCAAACACTGAGAGCTTTATGAATTTCTAAATTAAAATATCTATGTTGAAAGTAAGGTAATGCCTAGTGAAAGAATAGAGGGGGGGAATCACCCATGTAAACGTATCTCAGGCATTCTAAAACCAAAATCCATTCATAGGAAACCTTTTTTTGAAAGAAAACTTAGCTCAATAAATTCAAGTCCAGCAGACGTTAACCTTAAATACTGACAGGGTCACTGGGAAGTACTCTGTTCCTGACAGCCAAGGATTCCCAACTGCTTGATTCAAACACATCACCAGTTTGAGATACCTTCCACTGAACTGAAATCAATAATCAATGCATCGGCGGGTTAGATGCAACATACACAGAAAAACAAGCTATTAACATCACCCCAGGACCTTTCATTCTGTTCACTCTACACATGGATAGTTGCAAACACAGTTATGTGCTGTAGTATCTCAGCTTCTCTTAGAGAGTACTTCCTATAGGACTGCACGTGCTTTTCTTCTGGAAGGCAGACAAATACCCGTATCTATACATAAAATGTTTAAAACACTAGCACTTTTAACACAACAGCATCCCCTAGAGGTAAGTGAAAATCCACATGCGTCTGTCTGAACCACCGTGGACTTCACATCAAAGTAAAAAATCCATAGCCCACATGGCAGATGAGATAGTTCAACCTCTTAGTGATCTGCTGATTCACTTTAACACAGAAAACTCGTTCAGCCTTGACACAAGAATGTCTTATCACAGAAGTACTGTAACAGAAGGGAAAGAAAAAGGTGGTTCTAATGAGTATGTAAATCACCATTGTGAAAACCAGGAGGCCAGATAACTATTTTGACAGCTGGTCCTTGGCATTACAGAATCACAGAATCACAGAATGGTCAGGGTTGGAAGGGACCTCTGGAGATCATCTAGTCCAACCCCCCCGCCAGAGCAGGGTCACCTACAGCAGGTTGCACAGGACAGCGTCCAGGCGGGTTTTGAATGTCTCCAGAGTGGGAGACTCCACCACCTCTCTGGGCAGCCTGTTCCAGTGCTCCACTACCCTCAAAGTAAAGAAGTTCCTTCTCATGTTAAGATGGAACTTCCTATGTTCAAGTTTATGCCCATTACCCCTCGTCCTATCACTGGGCGCCACTGAAAAAAGACTACTCCCATCCCCCTGGCATCCTCCCATTAAGTATTTGTATGTATTAATAAGATCCCCCCTCAATCTTCTTTTCTCTAGACTAAAGAGACCCAAGTCCCTCAGCCTTTCCTCATAAGAAAGGTGCTCCAGTCCCCTAATCATCTTTGTTGCCCTTTGCTGGACCCTCTCCAGCAGTTCCCTGTCTTTCTTGAACTGGGGAGCCCAGAACTGGACACAGTACTCCAGATGCGGTCTCACCAGGGCAGAGTAGAGGGGGAGGATGACCTCCCTCGACCTGCTGGCCACACTCTTCTTGATGCACCCCAGGATGCCATTCGCCTTCTTGGCCGCCAGGGCACATTGCTGGCTCATGGTCATCCTGTTGTCCACCAGGACTCCCAGGTCCCTCTCCACAGAGCTGCTCTCCAGGAGGTCAGCCCCCAA